CCACGACAGATTTTATACGTGCACATCATTGAGGCACGTCCACACATGTTTTCGTTGTTGTTGAACTGCCTCAGAAAGTTGTTCCCGAAAATAAAAGTGCTGAAATGTCTAAATATGACTTATTAATCCGACGTTACATAGAACTACAAGTGTGTATGGGAGGGATACCCGAAAAGAAAGATCTTTTTCACAGAGACAGTCGAACGTTGGCAGCCGCTTTATGTCTCACAGGAGTGTCGTTCTCAAGTTCTTCCCCAAGCTTCGACCTACTTCGATCAAGCTTCGACCAAGCAATGGAAGTTACTGTTGACAAGTGGTACGAATATACTTGCCGAATTAACACTCCCAAACGTAGAAGGGAGTCCCTCCAAAATAAAAAGTATACTTAAAAAAAAAATATATATATATCTACGAAAAAAAGAAGGGGGGGGGGGGCGGTAGCTTTATTAAAATCATACCGTGGTCTAAAGCGGTATTCACATGGGGGAGAAATCTTGGGGACTTCTCCCCGGAGCAAGCATCACACGTCGAGAACGTCAGGCTTTTGCGATGTGGCGCTATGACGTCTGCTATGCGACGAAGGGAGGGAGGAAGCGCTTGCGCCGCACAAACAATCCTGGTTTGGCGGCGGATCAGTTTGTTTTCAATAATATTTTGTCGTTAATTTTCTTAGTGCCAAATAAAGAGCTTGTTAACTTCGTCGGCGGTGGTGTCAAGTGTGGAAACCGCTCAAATGGACTGATGCTGACATCCCTCCCTCCGGCACCCCGTCGAAGTGATTGGCGAAGCTGAAGAGGAAATTGGGCGCCCGCTGTCAACGTCACGCACATCCCTTCGCAGCTTTCTCCCCCGTGTAAATACTGCCCCGCATCTTCGGCACGGATAAGAAAGTGACCCCGGGAACTATACTTGGTTTGCGAAAACACTCTTGCCAGAAAGCCCGTTTCCTAGGTACCAGACGCTTTCGCTGTTTCTCAGGACGCTGCACCATGCAAGAATGCTTTGTGTCTGTCGAATACATGCTTTGCTACACTGAGCACGAACCTTCTGCAGCGTGCATTTTGCATCTCCGGATTTGATGTTCTCAGCAAGAGAAACTCGCAATGACCACCAGCATATAGTGCGGTGACGTCACGAGCAAACAATGTTAAACGGTTCAGTTTCCTGGTGAAACGCAATGTTCGCAACACTAGTAAAATAAGATCTCAAAGTTGTAAAGAAAGCCAAGAAAGCTACACAAATGCGGTCTACGCAAGTGAGTTATACGACCAGGCGGACATTATGTTCAAGAGAGAATCCAATAGGCGAAAAATTAGCAAAAATTTGCTAATTACTTTCTTAATTAGACATTTTAGGGCACATGTTTATATTAAACAAATGGAGACAATCAATGATGAAGGCTAGCCCCTTCTTTTTTTTTAATCCTGGATTGAGCACGCAGTTCCAGTTATTAATTGTTAAGATTTCTTCTGGAAATCTGTCGATACCTAAAGTATCGACAGATTCATTAACAAGTGACTCTCCGACATCAAACGAGGGTTGTCCTTCCGGCGGGCATCGCGCGTTTGGTTTCGGTATCGACCGTTTTCCAGAGCAAAATTTGACAATGAATAACTTCAACTGCGCGCTCGGTCCAGAAATTTTTAAAACTGGGCAGGCCTTCAACATTGATTGCCTCCATTTCTCCAATATAAGCTAGTGCCCTAAGATTTTCAATTAAAAAATAATTAGTGAATACGTGTTAGTTAGTCAGCTATTAGTTGCACTTTCCTCTTGAACATAATGTTCGCCTGGCCATATAATTCACTTGCGCAGATCGCATTTGGGTAGCTTTCACGGCTTTTTTTTTATCTGTCTTCAAAAGAGAAACAAAAACAAAAGAACACCCTGTTCATAAGTGTCTCGCGATGATATGCGGCAGCCTAATAAAATGCTAGAGCGCATGAGTGATAAACGACAAAGTTGTAACGTGAATGTCCAAAACAAGTTCACGTCAAACCGATAACATTAGCCTCCCGAGTTAGTATTTTGCGAAGTTTCCGGCTCATTAAAGCCGATGCCCGAATGTGATTTACGTTAGGATTATAATATCTTCGTCTGTCCTTGGCGGTATTTGTGTGTAATTAGGAGTATCATTACATCTCTCTATTTCTTTTTGCAGTAAGCCATTGCGTATCGGATTTATTTGAAGACTAGATCTAATCATGTGAGCACGAAGTTTCTTTTGGCGAACCCCGCGATCCGGTGTTTCACACTGCACAACAGCGGACAAAAAAGCGCGTTTCCGCAAATCGGTGCAAGAGCAAGCATATTTTTCTGTATCGTCGTGGCCGTGTCGGTGTCAAGCGTTTATGTGAACTTCATGCGGTCAAATTTATTGACGATAATGAAAAATGAAACACGTTTACAATTCCCTGTAATGCCGAAGTAGAGCGCGGCCCTTGAGGAGGAGGAGAGAAGGGTACGGAGGAAGAGGAGGGGCATACCCTCCTATCCTTGTTGTGTTCCGTCGCCGTGCACTCCAGGCGGTCAAGGGCTCGTCAAGCTGTGTATGCAGCTTTTTCCCTTGGTCGCCGCCATCGAGTGTGATGGAAATAAAATATATTATTATTATTATTATTATTATTATTATTATCCTGCTCCCCTGCCATTTAGCGGGAAATTTTCCGTAAATTTCCCGATCTTGAGGAGGAGTAGGGGAGAGTACGGAGAATAGGGTATGCCCCTCCTCCCCCTCTCCTCCTCCCCTCCTTTCCTCCTCCTCCTCCTCCTCCTCCTTCTCTTTTGAGGTATTTCGATTTTGCGATAGACCGCGCTAAACAATCTGATTATATATATGTATATAGTATATATATATATTTTTTTAATAAACCTTTATTATACCTTGCTACTAATAAAAGGTGAAGCAAATGTATAAAAGGCTTCTTCTTGTTTCTTTTTTTTAGAAAATCAATTACGAATTTGCTAGATGTTTTAAACGTATATTCATTCCAATGCACGAAGCAAAGTTTATTTTGTGCATGATATTGAATTCGTTCTTATTAAAAAGAGCTAAATTTTCGCTTTCTAGTGATGTCAAGATCATTAAATTATATTAAATAGATCACACGTGAGATCTTGCAAACTTTGCTAATAACCATCAAAGAAACAAAGTTCGTCATTTTTTTTAAACATCATTAAAAAAAATCACTCTTTAAGCTTAGTGAAATCAATTTCGAGAGTGTCACGAAAGAGTGCTAGTGCTTTATTTTGAGAAAATAAAAAAATATTGGCCGGTCAAACATAGGTGATCCCCGACCGGTGGACGCCAGTCTTCGCCTCGGCTACTTCAATCACTCGAAAACAGTCAAGCTTTTTGTTTGCGCTGTCTTTCATTTCAAAAATGCTCCCCGATTCAAAAATAAAAAAGTCAAAATTTAATATTGACTTTAAAACTGTGCATGAGTTGAGATGAAAACATCCATATACTACTTCGTTTCATGTTAGGTCACAGTACAGTGAAAGGCTCGAAGACGCTAACACATACGCACAAACTAACAGCGATACGTCGCTGCGCGCTTTCTTTATTTGTTCGAGTTAGGTGGCAATAACACCCCCACCAAAAATTACAGACGTAGTTACTTTGCGCTTTCGGCGCTGTTTGTTTGACTCCATCGGCTTCTGCTTGCTACTAGTCTGGAATGTAAACATTTTGACAGAAATCTGTCTGGTCGGGCAGAACTATAATAATTACTATACTATACTATTACTATACTTTCTCCTAGAACTCCAGGATAGCCAATCACTGCGATATAGGAGCTTCTCGAATGAAGTGATTGCAAAAGCGCCTCGACGAAATGATGAAATAGGCGGTGAGAAACAGAAAATATAAATTGATAATGATTAGACATTTTGTAGACTTTTTTCTTTTTTTTACGTGTTCTTAGCTTTTTGAATTGCCGATCTCCCTTTGTAGATCACAATGAGAGGATTTTCGACTGCTCTGGTGGAGAATGGGCGCACGGGTATCTTCTGTGACAGGGGTTTTAAACTCATTAAAACTTGGGGGCCAAATTTCTGACTCCCGAAAGGTCAAGGGCCAACGTGAAAAGGGAGGGGGGGGGGGGGATATTTTAAGGGAAAGAAAAATAGCTGAGAGGTCCACCTGGCGGAGCAGCTTTGTCTACCAGAAATCTTAAAATATCGGCTACGTACACTATGCTGCTTCTAAACTCGCCGTTTCGCCAGTGAGATTTTTAACTTTGAATAGTTTGTGACTAATTTGGAGAAACACCTGATGGGGCAAGAAACAGTAAAATGGCGCCGCTCTGAGAACATGCTAACATTTTTCAATCGAACAAGAAGGCATACCGTCGTTGCCCTGTCGTTCGACTCACCCGAAAATTAATCAAGCTCAACGTTATTAAAAAAAAAAAATCTTTTATGCGTTTGTTTTTACTATCTTGACGACTTTGATGGGAGAATTGTAAAAATTAAGTCTCGCATTTGAGTGTTATTTTCTGGACACCTATTCATCATTTTAACTTGCGACATGCGAAGATGAGACGCTCAAGCTCATAAAATTTGACAGTTTATGAAACGTACGTAAAAGCTATGCATCCGAGGTCTTTGAGCAAGAAGCCCGCGCACGTAGCCTATCGCACAGGTGCATGACTAAAATGAGAAAAAGGTGGGAAGAAAACTGAAAACTAAACAACACTGGGAGGAAATAAAGGAATCAACAACATTAGACTTTTATGGTACAAGCCATTTGCAGTACTTGGAAATGTGAAGGAGGCCCGCAGCCGCGGAATGCCTGCGGCCGCGTGTTTGAGACCCCTGCTCTATGGTCACTCAAAGGTTGAGAACGGCAGAGGGGTCCTTCAGAGACGCCTTCCGGTTCTCATTCTCTCAGTGATTATGGCAGAGTCGAATGAACGTACCCTTTGTCGGAGTCAGTCCTTCTGCCGATCGAGGTGTACATATTTGCTTAAGGTGCGTTGGTGTTGGCGGTGTTGCAGTGACTCCGGCGCAAGTCCGCATCAAAGGGTCGAGAAGCCCGGTGTCGGCGGACGTGGAAGCTGTCGTCGAGTGCGAGACAACCGGTTCCCAGCCGGCGGCGGACGTCTCCTGGAGTTTAGAGAACGTGGCGCTCCGAGACGCTCAAGTGCTGGCCCGAGGAGCAAACGGCACGGCGAGCCTGCTTCGCTGGACACCGCGACCGGAGGACGACGGGCGTCGGCTCATCTGCCGAGCCGTGAATAACCGCTTCCCACAAGACGTCATCGAGGACGTCTGGCTCCTCGACGTTCACTGTGAGTGCAGTGTCTGCTCTTTTGATACGAGGTGGGTAGAGTAGGAAATGAATCATGACACTCGAGGACATGTAGTGAAGCGAAAACGACAACTAAAGACTCCTTCGTTATTCACCCTAAATGCTTGCCCCAGGGACAAACATTTAGTTTGTATACAACAATCATAGGGGAGTATAAGCGTTGTATACTAACTAAATTGAGATCTTCTTGCAGTCATGGAAAGGATGTGTGAAGATTACCGCAGAAGAAATTTTACATCAAGGAAAAGACGTTAGCGCCGTTAGAGCAGGTATACTGATGAAGGTGTAGAAGTAGAACTCTTTGGTGTGTATGCAGAGGAAAACAAAGCATCATGAAAGTCGCGCATTTACATTGACTGAGTGGCGGTTGCGTGCCTTTATAAGCGAATTAGAGACGTCTACAAGAAGCGATGAGACCTTTGACTGTAATCAATTGAGTATGCCATTTACAGTTATTGTTCTACCGTTTGGTTCCCTCCTATTCTTGCTTTGAACATTTGAATTATCTGCTGATGAAAACTGTCGGGGTGTTGTTTGCACCTCAGGCTCACAACTAGCTCCCCTTTGTCGTCTGCAAGGAACGAAAATCCTGGTTGGGTGGAATGTACGTGGAGTGTAAATAATCGTGCATTCTTCCCAATCGAAATATTAAGGTAAGAACGCGACATGCGAATTGATTTTTTATTTGTCTCCATTCTCCAAATAAAAAAATAAAAAAATTGTTTTAGTTCTACGTAAAAACACGCGTAGCTGGTTCGCGGCGCAGGAGTTCGGCACTGGTCCACTGGGCCAACTCTTCCACTATGTTAGACCTAGCTTCCACTGTCTTAGACCACGGCGCGCAACGAAAGATCGCGCGAAATCTCAGTTAGCTTCGGCGAGAATACGATTCTGCATTTCTTAAGCGCAGAAGAAGCGAGAATGTCACCGAGTTTCGGTGCATAACAGGCAGCATCGTGCTCGCAGACAAGCCTCGGACTGAGCTCCGGCTCGGCAGTGGTCTGGATCCCTGGGGAGTCCAGGAGGGCCACGACGTGTACTTCGAGTGCTCGGTGCAGGCCAATCCGGCCGTGCACGAAGTCTCGTGGAGTCTGGACGGGCGTCGACTCACGGGTGCCAGGCTCATCGTGAGCAACCTGTCGCTCGCCTTGCGACAGGTGACGCGCCACCAGGCCGGACAATACCGCTGTGCGGCCCACAACTCGGCGGGGCACGCGGTCAGCAACGCCGTTCCACTGCGGGTCAAACGTGAGTCACTGTCGAGTACGGCTGTCGTCGCTCTTGTGGACTTCTGATGAGTGCTAATGGATGTGCAAGGTGTAAAAATCGACCGTTTTCTCAAGTTCCGTAGAGTTAAATAAAATGAAGAAACGAATAAAAATGTATTAACACCCAAAATCTAGATACAGTGCTCGCCAAACTTATACGGAACACCCGAACTGTGGGTTTTCTCGTCGAAACACTATTCTGGACAAAGCTGAACAATGGCTTCTTGATCAACTCCAAAAAGTGTATGTTCGTTTATATAAACCTACCCTACAGGAGCACACGAGCCAAAATACATATAAACGGTTCAGCTGCGTGACCTTTCTAATTGCCCGTAAAACCGAAGCCGGCGGCGAGGAACCGGAGAACCCGTCTTTACCGCCTGCAATTATCCTGCCAGGACGACATCAGGTTTCCCGTGTAACGTGTGGTTTTCAAAAGCAACTCTTGCCGCAGCGTTTTTTTTTTTGTTTTTTTTTTTTTTTTAGTTTACGCAATGTGTATTCAACCTTGTGGCAAGCTCGACTAAGCGGATTACCCGCCACCAAGAGGTAATTACAGTTCTGCATATCCGCGGATTACCTGCGGATCATCCGTGGATGTCCGCAGTAAACTGGCGCATGCGGATAAAATTCAATCAGATTTGGCGGATTGTGGGTCGGATGCGGATATCCGCTGCTCAGCAACTATATTTTTGCTGAGGCGGCCCATAATCGTGTACGACCGCATAGTGTAGAGTACATAAGCGAGTGATAGTATAAAGTTCATTGTCCAATGATTTGCGGGAGAAAATTACTTAAAAAAAAAAGGTGCCAATTGGGGAGAAAATTGTTCTTTATGCAAATACTCGATTCTCTCCGAAGATCGCTTCAGAGCGTTCTATCTCGCCAAAAATGTTGTCCATAGAAAAAGTAAGGAGTGCAGATGCATCAATCGTCCCGGCAAAGCGTGTTCTTGTTTGGCAGAGAAAGACCGGAAAACGTTCTTCTGGTCAGTGTGTCGAACCGGAACTGAACCGAACCGAAAACCGGAACTAAACCGTTATTTTTCGCCGAACCGGAATTGAACCCAACCGAAATCTTGGCCGCCATCTTGGAACTGAACCGTAACTGAACCGGAAGAAAATATAACAGTAACCGATTCGAAGCTGTTCACGGTAATTTTCTTGCTTTCCTGTTAATATCACAAAATAATTGGTGCAAAACTCTTTATTTTCGCGACCCTGACTTTTCGCGAATTGGGCAGCGGGGTCATATTCACCACCATTCAATTTCGCGATTTCTAATAGAAATTTTTGCGCCCACTAAAGTTCGCGAATTTTACAGTTCTCAAAGTTCGCGAAAATTAGGGGCTCGCGAACATTAAAGGGCAACTCCGCTCAATGCCGAAGATTTCGGGATAATGAGTGATTTCAAATTAAAAAGCCCTAGTAAAAGACACTACGTCTTTTGTTTCGCGAAAAATGGGATATATATTTTTAAATCTTATTTTAAACACGAGCGGAAATCGAAACCGAAACTTCGGCTCCGTCCGGCAACATTGGCCTCGGGCCGCCAAGTACATGGCCGTCACGTGGTACGAGAGGTCACGTGATCCTCGGCCCAAAGACGGGCGGGATGGGGGCGGGCGGGCGTGCGGCAGGCGCGAGTGTCGTCTGCTCCGCACTCTTCGCCACGTTTTGTGTCTACGGCATTCGACGACGTCTGCACAACTGCGGCATAAGTCTGGGACTCTGCGCACGTGGTGTCCATAGTGTGGACGAAACTCCGAGAGGCAATAATCACAAACGGTGAGACGACGACGGTGGTTGTGACGCGGAACACAGCGGTAACGGCGGGACCACGGCGGGCGGTTGGTCTGCTCTCAAGAAGCGCGCTGCGCAGGCGCGTACGTCAATCACGTGGACACCGCTGAGCGCCGAGAGGCAACGTTGCTGATGTCACGCGCTACGCTCGATCGGAGAAGTAAAAACAAGCAAAAGGGGGCCATGTAGATGGCGTTTAGCTCAATGTTGGCTCCGCCAATGCCGTAGCCTTAACTGCGCTGTTGGTTGCGCCTGAATTCGCCCGCCCGAGTCAGCCGATTTCGGCAACTTGGTGAGTTGCAAAGTTTGCCGGACCGTTTAAGAAACATTTAGACAGAACTGCATCGTAATATTTGACGTGTGGTCTTCCTAGGCGATACTGAAGAGGACTGCATTGTTTTTTCAAAACCAAAAATGAAGCGGAGTTGCCCTTTAAGGGAGTTACTGTATTTGGGAATAAAGATTTGGCAGCTGTATTTCTATGTATTGATAAAATCGCCAGGATACAGTATTGCAATGTATAAAAAATTGTGGATTTTCGTGGCGCAATTTTCTATCGGCACTACACTCTAAACAATACCTGCGAGTCCACTTACCCGCAAAACACTCAAAGAGCCAGTCTCTGCGGTCTATGAAATCAGCTCAGCAAATGAGGAGGCGGAACATCTGTTTAGACCTCAAAATTTAGTCTGCGATGTGGCATTACGCAACGCAAGCATGGCGCTTTGCATTGCGTAATGCCACAGCGCGGATTTAATTTTTAGGTCTAAAGGAATGTTCCGCCTCCTCATTCGCTGAGCTGATTTCATACATCGCAGAGATTGGCTCTTTCAGTGTTTTGCGGGTAAGTGGACGTGCAGGCAGTTTTTAGAGTGTATGATTAACTATGTGTCACGGGGTCACGTGACGTCATGGTGGCAAGACATGCTGTCAAGTAATGTCACGACACATGACCATGTGACATCACGTGACTCGTTCCATCAAGTCGATTTAAATTGAGAACATCACTAGATTTATTAACGTTGTTGACCACCGGAACGTAACATGAAATCACGACTTCGCACCGAGAGTCACGTGACAACGTGACGTGCGCGATTTTCATGACCCCGAGTTGAATGTTCGGGTTCATGACAATTCAGCATCGCCAAAAATTTGGGCTCGTGTTCAGTTAAAGATCATAATAGCCCAACTCTAACAATACTTGAAGCTCAGCCCATGCTCTATGCTTTGCCAACCGCAGCACATAACTATGATGAACACTGACGGTAGATAATTAGCGTCAGATTACGTGGCCGCTTGTCCTAATTGCGAGTTGAGGAAGCTGTTACTTTTCTTTATTTTTTTTTGTGTCTGCCATTACGCGGAGGGAAAATTTAATCGATGTTTTTGAGGGTTATCAATTTCAGGGATTACGTATCTAAGCGGTATTTACTGAAAGTACAAGATATGTTGCACGACCCAGTTTACATGTATACGCATCATTGAGGCACCCCAACATATTTTCGTTGTTGCTGAACTGCCTCAGAAAGATGTCCCCGAGAACAGAAGTGGTAAAAAGACTAAATGTGCCTTTTTAATCCGACGTCCCATAGAACTACAAGTGTCTGTGGAAGGGATACCTGAAAAGAAAGATCCTAGTGGCCTCCGAGGGACAGTCGAACGTTGGCAGCCGCTCTAAGTCTCACAGGAGTGGCATTCCCAAGTGTTAAAACTTCGCAGTTGGGTGCAAAATAAAAGTAATGGAGGATTACAGTTGACAAGTGACACAAATATAAATGTCGAATTAACACACCCAAACGGAAAGGCAGCCCCAGGGGGGGGGGGGGGGGGGGGGGGGGGGTTAAGTTTTGAAAACACCATACTGTATTGCAGAGGTTCTGCCCCTGATCTTCGGCTCAAACCACAAAGCGTGGCCCCGGAAACTACTTTGTTTGCAAACACACTCTTGTCAGAAAGCGCTCGCGCCATTCCTCACGACGATGCACCAGGAATAATGTGTGCCTCACAAATACATGGCTTGCACTAAGCGCGAACCTTCTGCAGCGTGCATTTTGCACCACCGGATTTGATTTTCTGAGCAAGAACAAATCGCAATGACCGCCAGCGTATAGAGCGATAACGTCATGTGCAAATCATGCATGTTAGACAGTTCAGCTTTCTGGTGAAACGCGATGTTCCTAACATCAGCAAAAGTACATGTCCAAACTGTATAGCTGTGCAGTATATAGCAACCTCGCGATGATATACGGCAGGCAGCCTAATTAAATGTCAGAACGCGTGACTGGTAAAGCACAGAGTTGTGAAGGGAGGACCCAAAGTAAGTGCACGTAAAACAGAATATAACATTAGAGTCCCGAGGCAGTATTTCGCGAAGTTTCGAGCTGATGCAAGCTGATGAACAAATGTGATTTATATTAGGATTCTAAAAATCTTCGTCTGTCCTTCGGGCTATTTATGTATAATTATTATTATCACTGCATGGCAATGCATTTCTTTTTTACAGTAAGAGATTATTTAGACAAATACCATTAATTATCTCTTTCTTTCTGCACATTTCGTGTATTCGCCTTCCGATCTATCATGTCAGCACAAAGACCTTTTTGGCATACCCTGGAACCCGGTATTTCACACTGCCAAACAGCGAAAAAAAAAGTTTCCGCAAATTGAACTACTGGCGTATTTTTCGAGTATCAAGCGGTCTCAAGCGGTTATGTGATCTTCATAAAGTCAAATTTATTAATGAAAAAAATTGTATTTAATTACTGACTGAATATTTGACAAAATAAATAAAGAGCCGATCACTTTAAAGATATACATCATAAGTAAATGCACCCTCAAATTATCTTAAACATGCTCTGCAAATCTTTTCCGGCGTTTTTATCCTCGATAGGCATGTTACGAGTGATTTTGGAGAGCCTTAACCAAATTTTTTATTTTAAAGCTAATTTATATCACTATGTATTGCTCACACGTATATAACTCCTAAAACATATGGAAGTCTGTTATTGCCTCTTTTGTGAGAGATCGGTGGCCGAGTGGGCTAGCGCACATCAGCTCGACCCATTTGGAGCGAAAACTCGCGCTGGGGGGGGGTGCAGAACCCAGGAATCCTGGGTTCAATCCCCCCCCCCCCCCCCCCCCCCCCCCCCCTGCCTGTTTCGACCTGGATGAGCATCGT